ATAAATACTGCTGGAATTGTGGGGTCCTTAGTGCTCTCTGAGCTTCGTTGTTTTCTTGCAGACGTTTCATTATTCAGCTAGGTAACATCTAATAACTGATGATGTTACCTAGTTTGGTGATGAAACATCTGCAAGACAACCATCAAGAACAGGGGTAGGGAATCTTGGCTCTTTTATGACTCGTGGACTTCAACTCCCAGAATTCCTAAGCCAGCCATGCTGACTCAGGAATTCTGGGAGTTGAAGTCCACAAGTCATAAAAGAGCCAAGGTTCCCCACCCCGATCAAGAACACCACAGTCAAGAACAAGAGATCTATTTTAAGGTCTGCCGAGATAACAGTATCCTTCCGCCTCTAGACAAAGAGAAAGATAAGAAAGAGGGCAAAATTCTCCCTTTCGTTCCTTATCGGTCCCAAAGGTGCTTTTTTTCCCAAAGGGCAACTGGACTTTCTTGTTCTTTTTTCCTTGAAAACATTTCACTTCTCATCCAGGAAGCTTCTTCAGTTCTAACTGAATGGTGGAGAATGGAAGGATTGATATCCTTTGCAGTCATCTGGTCATCAGACTGACCCTCAGAGTGCTAATGACCAGATGGCTGCAAAGAATATAAACCCTTTCATGATCTAGTTGGGCCATGAAATGTCTTGCAAGAAAACAACCAAGCTCAGAGAGCACCAAGGACCCCCAATCCTCCTCCTCCTGATGATGTTACCTAGTTGGGTCATGAAATGTCTGCCACAAACCACCAAACTCAGGGAGCACCAAAGACCTCACAGTTCAACCTTGAGCTACAAATGTTCTTTTCTGTAATGCTAATTATTGTACTGCAGAACGTGTCCTTCAACATCGTAGGTCCTTTGGGGGGGATCTCATTTTACAGTGATCCAAGATCTTGGTGGATGACTAGATTCTTCCCACAGGTAAGAGCTTTGCGCTGATCCCTTTGCTGTTTGCCCTCTCTCCTCCCTCCAGTTCTCGCCCATCTGAATAACAAATGCAAAACAAGCAAACAAAATGTTGTGCAAATATTCCTGCCAGATTTAAAACAAACAAACCTAAGCCATCCCTGTGAAGTTCTCTCTCTCTCTCTGTGTTTTTTAAGTGAGTGCCATACATCATAAATGATAATTGCAAAACCAAATGAAATGCTTATTAACACCACCTAAACTCGGTGGAACAGCTGTACGTGTTCGTAATTCGTTGATGGGGAAAAAAAGTAATTTGTAAGCAGCATTAAGGAGTGGAAAAAAGGTCCTGAGGGGGAAATCTGCACTCCAAGGCAGACAGTGTTATATATGGATTAAAATTAGACCTTCAAATGAGGAGGATCTTTGAAGAGACCAGAGTGACCAGAGCTAACCCAGCCTCGTTATTAAGGTTGCATTTAATTATCCAGGACTATATAACTTCCCTTCAAGCAAATAATGCCATTTCTAGAGGTTGACACTAGTTTAGAAATCAACAAAGTCAGATATTTATATAGCAAGGGCCTGCTCAGAGTTTCTCAAAAGTCCTCTGGAATTCAAAAACCATCTTTTTCAACTACAGTGAGACAAACCAACCACTTTGGATCAAGCCAGCTTTGATGACACTGTTGTGGCTGCCATTTTGGCCTTAGTTACCACACCCTGTGGACATCCTCTGGCTGGGTGTTTGTCGTAGGGAAAATCATTTCCATAGACACCATTCATGCTTTCAACCCAATGCTTATTTATTTGTTACTCTACTAAATGCAATTTAAATCCTTAAAATGGTGTTCAAATTAGATGTTTTGGCTTTGAGGTTTGGCACCTCTTTGGTGGAGCTTCACATTTCGTTCTCACGGCTCCATCCTTGATCAGCTGGTCTGCTCCAGATTGACAGCTCTGGTTCCTGTCACCCTCTCATTCTTCCCTCTTACCTCCCGAACCTCCCCCCCCCCCCAGGATGCCAGCGAAGCAAAGGATGCTGAAGATGGCAGACCTGACAGAATCCTTATAAAAAGTGTAACAAATTAAAAAGAATCTGGGATAGCTGCAAATCTAGGGTGGGTTTTGACTCAGCAATCCAACATGGACTGAAGGAGGCACAAGACGGATGGATTTGTTCTGGTCTACAGTTTGGAGATTTTAGAACACCCCCTTGTGTGGAGTGGCTATGCTCAGATTGATGCTTGGTTAATGCGACTTTGCAGTCCAGTTCACATATCCTGCTAATCCTTCATTTTCTGAATCTCATCCTTAGTGAGGTCAGTGTTTCTCAGTCTTGGCAACTTCAAGCTAGGAGTTGAAGTCCACCCAGCTTAAAGGCACAAAAGTTGAGAAATGCTGAATTACACTGAAGTATTCAAGGGTTTGTTTGAACCAGAGTTTGTTTGACAACTCGCCATTTGCCATGTTCCTGCCACATGCTGAGCCAACAAGCCAGGTTATGCCCTAGCCTATTGCGCAAAGCCCATACATGTAAACCCAGATTTAAGAGTCCTTTGTGAGAAAACAGTCAGACACAAAGGATCGGGGACATATGTTAAATTTCAGTTCAGAAGATTTATTTCTCAAGCTTATACGCAATAATTTAGTCAACTCAAATTCAGTCTTAAATTGGCACCCGATAAAGGTCAACGGAATTCAAGAGGGGTTGGACAGGGGCCATTTGTGGCGATATAAGGACTCTAGGCTTATGACTCTCTTAACTCCGTCCCTCCCAGCTCTGCCTGCTCTTCTCCTACAAATATTGCTCTTACTCCACTCGGTGTGTGCTAAAAGATGAGTGAGTAAAACCTAAACATTGTAGCACGCAGCAACTATCCACTGAGTGTGAAAAATGCTGTCCAGGCTGATTAAAGGGGGAAAAAATTGCTCCTTAACGCTCCTCTAATTGCCTGCTGTTCTGTGTCTATTTTCTTCCACCAAGCAAGGATGCCAAAGCCCTGCCAGAAAATAAGCTGTTCTTTCACCACCAAAATGGTACTGATGGCTTTGGTATGAATAAAACATGCCACATGCAAGATTAATACGAAAATGGAGTTGCTGGTGTCATCAGCAGAAAGCATGGTTTCCGAGCCCCCCCTCCCCATGCTTTTATTGCTAAGAAGGCCTCCTGTCGCCACACTTGACGTCTCAACAAAGCTCAGTGGGCAGGAGTTAAAGCAGAATTTTGCTTCTTCATCCCATAAAGCGGTCAAGTATTTTACTTTGGTTTATTCGTGTCCTGCCTTGATTATTTTTACGAATAGCTCAAGGTGGCAAACATATCCAAGGCATCTTCGTCCTCCTATTTTCCCCCCAACAACAACTCTGTGGGGTGGGGTGGGCTGAGAGTGGATGACTGGCCCAAAGTCGCCCAGATGGTTTTCACGGCTAAGGCGGGACTAGAACTCTTCATCTCCTGGTGATTGGCACAAAGTCACCCAGCCAGCTTTCACACCTAAGGCAGGACTAGAACTCACCATCTCCCAATCTCTAGCCAGGTGAGGAATGGGAGGCATCAGGAACTGGGTGCAGAAGAGATCCCAGGGGTGCAGGAGCGTGATGATGTCACTGATTAAACATGACGACACACATGAGGTCATTGTGGCTTGTGTATGAAATTGCAAGCCGAATCTCCAAGTCAGATGTTTGGAATGCCGCAGTGTTGTTTTACACAGCTCAATGATGGAAAGCTTCAAGAACAGTGAGCAGAGGTGTTCACATCACATAGGGGTGTGACGACATTACTGAGTCAAGGGGTGCTGTTGTGGCTCACCCCAGATATGTACAAAATTGCAAGCCAGAAACGCAAGTCAAATGTTTGGGATGCTGCAATGTTGCGTTGCATGGCCCAAGAAGATGGGGCCAAGGATGCTGAATCTTACCTTGGTTCTCCTTGAAAACGGTGACTTATAAAAGTTAAGTCAACTTCTGCTAAACCAGGATTTCAACCCCTCCCACTCCTTGTGGGATATACCAGCAAATTATTGCTCTCAGCTGCACTTAACTTCACTGGGTGATTATTATCGGAATGAAATTAGAGCACCTATACTATCTTGAGAATTAGTAGGATCTAAATCTAGTTCATAAATAGGATGAGCAAATACCTGTGGGTGTTTTCAAGTCATGCCTTTGGAAAGAAAAATAATCACCAAGTCAAAAATAATCTATTGGTTCCTGTTTGCTTTTTCTGATCCTCCAAGTAGCTCATTCCCGGCCAAGTGTCGGCTCCTCTCCTTTGAGTAAATATCTGCCCAGACAACAAGCAGAGCTGGGATTAATTATTCAGCACAGGTTCCCATCCGCTCTGGATTAAGTCAAGACTACTAAATGGTTTCTGAACTCTTCAGCCAACGGGTGTGAATGTCACTAAGGACAACCTGGACCTTAGCCCTTCGCAGAGGGACTAAGAGGGCTCAGCAGAGGTGAGAAACTAGGCAGGAGGAACTTGGAGAATGCAGCAGAATCAAGACTTTATCCTGAAGGAAACCCCACTTTCAAAACCTGCTTCTTCCTATTAAGCTCATCAACGAATAGCTTCCATGTCAGTCCACGTCATGCAATCTCCATCCATCAAGCATTACCTTGGCAGAGATGCCCCTTTCTTGAACTTCAGTGAGTCTGTATCAAATTAATTTGGGGAAAGATATGAGCTGTTCCCCTCCCGTCAGGATCGTTGGCACCTTAACAAAACAGTCTTTAAACAACAGTCTTTAAGCAATATGCAAGATGCAATAGTCTAAGTGTCCCATCACCTCATTTCCTCAAAGGGGCTCCAAGATTATGTCCCTCTCTTCTTGCAGATTCCCCCAACCTCCGTTTCCCCCAAGCCCCCATCGCAGCATGAAATAGAACAGCCCTACTCAGGCCAAAGGTTTGGGATCCGCTCCCATAATCCTGAACCAGCATGGCCTCTTGCTGTCTGAGGATTATGGGAGGGGGTGGGATTATAGCTGCTCCTCTGGTTCAAGGTGAGCTCCCATCATGGGAATCCCGCAGGTGGGTGAGGTAAGATGATGGAATTCCTTTATTCTGAATAAGATCTTACTCACCACAAGGGACAGGGGCCTTTTCCAAGAGACCACACCGATCAGTCCGGACAGCAGCACCTGAAATTAAATCAGAAAGATAAAACAGTTCAGAAATATAGATTTCTCAAAGCCAAGAGAAGAAAAAGAAAAACGTGGGCCAAAATCTGCCTGGCAATTTTTCATACAATTTCTTCTTCCCCCCAAAAGAAGCTTCTGGGTTTTGGGGTGGGGTTTTTTTTAGTCTTTTTTAGTCTATTTTCAAATTTCTCTAGGTTGTGCTTTTGAGTTTCCTTTCCCATTAGACCTGATGGAAAGCTGTTGTTTTCAGAGATCAGTCTTTCCATCATTCTCCCTGGCTGCTTCCCAATCTGAAAAAACACCCCACCCCTTCCCAGTCTCTTGCCTTGGAGATGAATGACAGGCTGGGAAGCCACAGACCTCTGGAGAAAGAATTATATCATGAAAGAGAGGACTTTCCTAGGCATCCTTGACTGCCCCGTCAAAAATACATTCAAGAACGTTGCACTCCACCCTGGAGAATTGCACCAAATTTTTGTCTCCTCTGAGACTCATAAGAACATAAAAACACAGTTGATGTCCTGCTGGGTTGGATCTATCTCATCTTATCCATCCTTTCTCTTCTCACAGTGGCCCACCACTGCCCAAGGAAGCCCACCAGCCTACCAACAGATGGCCTTCAGTGGCTGAAGTTTCTGGAGGTTGCAGTCCCAACCCATAAAGCAGACACAAAATTCGGGAGAGACTTTTTTGTCTTCAAAAAACCCGCTAATTGTTCCTGACATTCTAAATGCCTCTCCTTCAGCATACTAACTTTTCAATCATGGAAGAATTGGTTATAGGCCACGTGAGATGGCAGAGTGTTTTGTCCCCACTGCAAAATTCATGGCCACCTCAACAAATTCATCATCGACATGAACACCAGATTCCCTTCTCTTTCTTCTCTGAGTATTTTTCCCGGCTAGCTCAAAACATTTCTCTCCACCAAGTATTTGTTTTTACGGAACATTAATTCTATTATGCACCCATCAAGTTTAATGAAAAAGTTATCCGGGTGTAATTATGCAAATTTATTTCCAAAAGTAAATGAATTCAAAGTGTAGAGAGTCACCGTGTAAATTAGCAAAAAAGCGAATGCATCTGTGTGTTTGTGTGTCTGTTCTTGATCCCCATGCAGATGTCAAACATTAATAGGCAGAGCTTGAGGGATCACAATCACACTGCAGCTTGGGTTAATCAAGATCACCGAATTGTGCAACTTAGGGCCATCCCATGTTGCTGAACTGTAATTGCCAGCGGTGTTTCCAAAAACATTGGGAGATCTGGAAGGGGAAAGGTCCCTGCTTAACTCTGCTTTATAAGATGACAGCAGCTGAAGGATTAGATTCGAATCATTCTTAAGGTCTTGCAATCCAAATAAAAAAGAATTAGAGGAAAACACCCTGCTCTTTCCCAGGGCAACAGCTTTTCCTTCAAAATTGCCTTTTTCCTGCCTGATGGAAATTGCCAAAATTAGTTTTGAAGCAGAGCTGTGAACAGTGATCAAACAGGAGCATATTTCCTTTGAAAAATATCTTTATTAAAACTTTTTACATATATAAGTAGTGGATTCAAAGTAAAAGGATTAGTAAATGGCAAGAACATAGAATAATAGGGTTGGAAGAGACCTTGGAGGTCTTCTAGTCCAGGGCTTCAACCAGTGGTACGGGTACCACCTGTGGTACATTGGCACCTGGCAGGTGGTACGCGACCATCCTAGAAAAGTGGTAGCGGGGGAGGGGAATGAGCTGAACCGGTGGCAGCACCGCACAAGCCTGGGCGAGAGACGGCTGGAGCTGCAGGGCTGTCAGGGCTCAGCAGAAGCGCCAGGATCAGCGCCAGGCTCCAGCTGGAGCTCAGCGCTGATCCTGGTGCTTCTGCTGAGCCCAGAAGAAGCGCCGGTCAGCTGGAATATTGCCTTATCTCCAGGGTCTTGTGATTTACATTCAGATGCTTGGCAACTGATTAATATTTATGACGCTCACAGTGTCCCAGGGTCATGTGAAGTGACCAAAACCTGCTGCAACCACCCAGCAGACGGGGGGAATAAAACCAAACACCCCCCACCCCACCCCTGCTGCCAATCCCCAACAGAAATGCTCACAACAATGAAAACCTCAGACAGGAGGAAGAGCGCTGTCGGGCAGGCAGGTGTCTTGCTCGGCTGTGGCTTGGGGGGCACTTTTTTCAGTGCCATTGTAACTTCAAACAGTCACTAAGCGAACTGTTGTAAGTCGAGGACTATCTGTACGTTATCACTTTTTTCCTTTTTTTGGGGGGGTCATCAAGTTTTTGACACCTTGCTAGGCGACGGGTGGTACTTGGATGTTGCCATATCCTAAAAGCGGTACAATGGGTGAAAAGGTTGAAAAGCCCTGTTCTAGTCCAACCCTCTCCTCAAGCAGGAGACCCTAAACTAACATTAATCATCATTATGAATCCATCATGGCTAAGAAGACTCTTGGGGTTGAGTCCAGGGGTTTGAGATAGCTGCAGGGGAAGCCCAAAAGTTCTGGCTCTAGAACTTTGTGGAGAAATTGACAAGTTAATAAACCTGCTTGATGTCTATGGAGATTCTTCGTCATCCATGATTGTCCCAAAGGTGCTTTTTCAGGAGGCAACTAGACTTTGTTTTTCCTTAAATATGTTTCGCTTCTCATTCAAAAAGCTTCTTCAGTTCTGACTGAATGGTGGAGGACACAAGTGACTCAGCGACTTTCAGAAAGAGTGCTAATGTCCAGATGACTGCAAGGAATATAAATCCTTCCATCCTCCACCGTTCAGTCAGAACCGAAAAAGCTTCTTGGATGGGAAGCGAAACATCTTCAAGGAAAAACAAAGAAAGTTCAGTTGCCTTTTGAAAAAGCACCTTTGGAATAATAAACCTGCTTGTTCTTTTGGCCAAATTAGAAGGTCAAATTAGAAGTTATTACTACTAAGATACTTTCTACTATGCTATTCTTTCTGTGAGACAAGAGGAAATAGACCTTTCCATTTTCGGCTGTGATTCCTTATGTCACTTAACATTTATTCTGTCTTCTCTCCAATTCAGAAAGAGAACTGTATCTGCTACATTGCTAACTTGCAATTTGGATCAGCCCCATTGGTACACAGATTAAAATCACAACTCCAGAGAGATATTTCAGATCCGTGCAACACATTACATTCCCTACCTATGATTACTCATGCCATTTTGTGTCCCTGCAATAAACTTAACACCCCTTCAATCTGCTTGTTAATAATCCCTAGGTGGAACCTGAAAATAGTAATCAAGCTTCAGCAGTCAACACAGGAACCCACACAAACGTCAGGTTTGCTTCGGCATTTTTTTCATTAAACTCAGAAGCGCCAAGAAATGTTTCCACCTTAACCCAAGTGGATAAATACAGACCGTTATTCCTCCATGCCAAGGAGTTGGGCTTCCTTCTTAAATCTCCTTCTCCAAAAAGGTTTTGTCAAGATGCTCTTGACAAACCCATCTGTGTGATTTGTGGGAGGATTTGCGTGCTATGTGCTTTCTTTCCTCACTGGGGAGGTGCCACGCACTAACGGTGTCAGGATAAAAGGTAGACTGTGAAGCAAACAGAGCCATCGGTGGTCAATGCCTCATAAATTATACAGGCTGAGGTTGAATTCCTGGAACTGGTGTAGGGTGAAAGATTTATACGCAAAATCATAGACTGCGTGTTTGCATAACAAACCTAACTTATGAAAGACATGGTAACTATATCTGAACATAGAATCATAGCACTGGAACGGACCTCAGAGGTCTTCTAGTCCAATTCCGTGCTCAAGGCAGGAGACCCTATACCAGGGATCTTCAAACTTGGCCCTTTTATGACTTGTGGACTTCAACTCCCAGAATTCCTCAGCCAGGCAATGCCAAGTTTGAAGACCCCTGCCCTATACCATTTTGAACAAATGGCTGTCCAATCTCTTTTCGAAAACGTCCAGTGATGGAGCACCCATAACTCCGGGAGACAAGTTATTCCATGGATTAATTGCTCTCACTGTCAGAAAATTCCCCCTTACTTCTAAGTTGGATTTCTAACAAGCTTCCACTCATTACTTCTTGTCCTGTCCACTGGTACTTTGGAGAATAAGTCAACCTGCACCACACCCCAAGCTTGGTTTGTGTGAATCTTCATGATTTTGCTTCAAACTGTCCTCTTCTTGAAGAAAAGGTAACCGCAGGGGTGGGTTGGTGTTTCCGTGATTTGATTCTTTCCACAGATTTTGAGTCTCGCATCACCAGCTTCGCCCAGAGGCAGTCAGTGTGGTGACTTCATCGTAAGACATTCCCCAAAGCTGCTGCTGTGCTTGGTAGCAACCTCAGCTGCCTGGCAGGTTGCTAGGCATGAAGTCATGTTTTGCTGGCTAACCTCTTCCTTACCAGCTCTCCTAAAGCAACTCTCTTGAGTGATCAGCTAACCCAGAGGTCTCCAACCTTGAGTGATCAGCTAACCCAGAGGTCTCCAACCTTGGCAACTTTAAAACTTGTGGACCAACACCTACAATTCCCCAGTCCACAAGTCTCAATATTGCCACGTTTGGAGAGCCCTGAGCTAACCGAACCAGCCACCGTTTGCTAAGCCACCAAAACAAATAAAAATGATGATTAACCCTTAACAATGAGGAATGAAATTATAAAGATCAAAACTAACCCACTGGGACTTCCTGAACAGCCTTCCATTCACCCACAAATTTCCTAAAAGTTAAGGGAACTCCATCTCCACTTACATATCCTGAGTGCTACTCCAGATTATTTCACATCCACAGAGAGAAGGATATTTCAAAGCAAATTCTAGTTCACCAAGCTGAAACTAGGATAGAAAAAAAGGCATGCTAACTTTTTTTTCTTTTTTCTTTTGCAAAATGTGCAGCACATACTCCTGATTTTTCCTTCTCCCTGCTAGGCTAACTACGTCCCTCAAAATTGGTGCTTCCTGACTGCTATCTGAGTTTGGGGACTTCCAGCTTTAGCCCAGAAATACCTATTCACCTCTCCAATATTTCTGCCA